GAGTCGTGGAACCCCTCAGGCACTGCCACCATTGTAAGGTTGTTAATTAATGTGTAAGAGGGGAGTGACAGGTGACTTAGACAGTGGGCATACTAGGGGGTAGAGGTGGGCACATTAGGGGGCGGTGGGCATTATAATAGGGTGAACACACTTAAGGGCATTGTAACCTGTATACCCAGCACTAGGAGGAGACTCCACCTATATACCCAGCACCAGCAGGAGATTCCTCCTATATACCCAGCACCAGCAGGAGATTCCTCCTATATACCCAGCATCAGCAGGAGTCTACTCCTGTGACCACCTGTATACAGATCGTCTCTGGAATATTCACGCTCTGATGCCTCCTGTCACTCGCGGGGCCCTCACAAACCAGTAAAATAACTCTTCTGGGTGAGTGACTTACAGATGAGATTTGCGCGTCTTGAACAAACTTGCTGACGTGGAAAACCCACTCTGCTAAAAATTCCTATCAACATTGACCAGTCTTTTTTTTTTAACCCCGTTTTTTGTTTTGTTGTTGTGTGTGTGTGTGTGTGTGTGTGTGTGTGTGTGTGTGTGTGTGTGTGTGTGTGTGTGTGTGTGTGTGTGTGTGTGTGTGTGTTTGCAGAGGAACATATGTTTTTTTTATTTGCTGCGACTGCAATGCGGATTGTATTGGTGAAAATCATCTGTATTGGATTATTTTATTGGTTCATGGCAGTATTGCGAACACGGGCGTGGTTCCCTGCACATTCTAGTGTGTGTGTGTGTGTGTGTGTGTGTGTGTGTGTGTGTGTGTGTGTGTGTGTGTGTGTGTGTGACGACAGCGTAGGGGACTACCACATACATTACAGTGCTAATTACACGCGTATCTCAGCCTGGAATGTGGTCCATTTTACGAGTCACGACATAATGAAAAGGTTAATTGGACAGTGGCGGTGTGTTGGACCGCACGACTGTGTGTACACATCTTGTTGATGCGGTGATGCCTCTTGCTTTTTGAGAGTGTAGTGTGGTGAATCACGCCGTGTGGTAGTCGGTCCCCCTTATGCCACCTCTAAGTGCGCTGTAGCGAGGCCAGTGCCTCACTGTTGGCCCGTAGTAGTAAGGGTACTGGTGACTCTGTTTATCAATAGGACACAAAGGAACGGTTCTTTCCCGGAGGGCTGAGAAGTTTGGGAGGGGGGTTAGTAATTGTCAAAAGTAGGTACCAAGTCTGGGTGACTTTATTGGTGGTGGGGGGGGGGGGGGTTGAGGTACACAGGTGTGTGGTACAGCTGGTGATGGCACTTGTACACCTGTTCACTCTAGCCCACAGTTGTCACGATTTAAGTTGTTACAAATAAATATTATGATTCCGTATTAGTGTCGGAGCTAGCACCAATAGTGCCATCACATACATTTGCTCCAGACACCCTCTCTCGCCCTTCTTTCTCCTCGAAGTTGTGCTCGTATGGTCGAACGCTAGCTCCCAAGCCCCGACATTCCAGTTATCGGTCGTTTAATATAACGACTACCTTTCCAAAGTGTTTTTTGGTCTTTATCGCTTCAAGTTGTGTCGAGTTGACTTCATGGAACTCTTCCTTCGAGTCTTCTCACGTGTTTGTGACGCGTCCTGATGGCCTTCATATTTCCGTGATTAATTTGTGTCTCTTGAGTTTATAGTCGTGGAGTTTGGAGACCTCAAGGTCTACGGTTTTGCAGTTCTCTTCCTTGATAACTTTGTGGGATTTCGGGGCCCTTTTTATCATATTCCAGGTCGGTGCTGCATACTTATACAATGTTGAGAGTGTTTCTGACGGATCTCAGGATACCTTAAGGTTACCTTGAGGTGCTTCCGGGGCTTAGCGTCCCCGCGGCCCAGTCGTCGACCAGGCCTCCAGGTTGCTGGACTGATAGACGCGGCTGCTCGCAGCCTGACGTATGCGTCACAGCCTGGTTGATCAGGATACTTGGTCACGTTGTACTGTTACATGTCCCTTACGTGTCTGGGTTAACGTTACAGCTTCTCCTAATTTTTATCTATTTGGGAAGCTGAGTTGGTTTCGTTGTGTAAAGGGAAGCCCCAACCAGTTGGTACAGGGGTATACAGTCACTGTGTAGGTGTCCTTCAGTCACGGTGCCCCTAGTAGCACGTCTTTGTTTATACCTGCCCTGTCCTGCCCTGTCCTGCCCTGTCCTGTCCTGTCCTGTCCTGCCCTGTCCTGTCCTGCCCTGCCCTGCCCTGCCCTGCCCTGCCCTGCCCTGCCCTGCCCTGCCCTGCCCTGCCCTGTCCTGTCCTGTCCTGCCCTTCCTTGCCTGACATGCCTACCCCACCTGCCCGTCTTACCTTGCCAGTATGAGGAGAGAAAACAAGAGAAAGAGAAGGGACAATAGAGAAAAGAGGAGGCCGTGGAAGAGGTGGCGGCGTCGGAATAAGGGCAATGAAGCGGGCAAAGCATCACGTGGGCACCATTGGCAGCCCTCATCTCCGATAAGAACGCGGCTCCCAGCATCCAATGACGCGGAGAAAGACCTAAATCACATTATCTCGTTGACGAAGACGACGCCGCGACTCCCCCCCCCTCCCCCCGTCCCTTCCCTCGTTCGTCTAAGGCCGCTGTAAGGGTCAGAGTTAGCCTTCCATAAGGTGTGGAGTGACCCCTGGCGTGTCCTGGCTCTTGGGGGTCACCTCTGCTAGCTACAGGGAACGTCAAACCAGTCTGAGATCACCTCATTCCTTGCTGTGGATTTCAGTATCTCTCTCTCTCTTTCTCTCTCTCTTTCTCTCTCTCTCTCTCTCTCTCTCTCTCTCTCTCTCTCTCTCTCTCTCTCTCTCTCTCTCTCTCTCTCTCTCTCTCTCTCTCTCTCTCTGACTCTGTCTCCCCTTCGCGAGCGAGAGAGAGAACTGCCAGAATTTAGTGTCAGAAACTAAGCAAATAGTGTCACGAGGCTGATTCATCCCTTGAGCGGCTGGTTCACTCCCTTGAGCGGCTGGTTCACCCCCTTGAGCAACAGCTGTTGGAGACAACATTGGCAGTATCTGCCTTCATTGGCCTTTCGAGTCAAGATCTACCATAAAGGCTCAGGTTGGTACACTCTGGGGGCCTCTATTTGGCCAGCCCAAACTCCAGTGTTTGATTAGAAAGGTGTGTATGTTGGGGGGGGGGAGGGCAGGTGTAGGCGTGCTTGTGTGCATGAGCGCGCGCACGCGAGACCGTCCTGTTAAATACATTTTAAGCTCTTCAAAACTATATAAACCAATGTTTTGTTTGAAAATGTTTCACTCCTATTGACCGAAGGCGAAGCCGGTTCAGGCCCTTGAACGTGTCCAACAGAGAACTCGACAAACGTCTCCAAAGGATACCAGATCAACCAGGCTGTGATTCAGACGTTATTCAAGTGATTGGGTTGAGCAGGCCACCCACCAGGAGGCCCATTCAGAGAGCGGGCCGCGGGGGAGGGACATAGCTCCCCGGTGTGCGTGGTGCCCGACAGTGGTGCCCGACAGTGGTGCCCCGACAGTGGTGCCCCGACAGTGGTGCCCGACAGTGGTGCCCGACAGTGGTGCCCGACAGTGGTGCTCCGACAGTGGTGCCCGACAGTGGTGCCCGACAGTGGTGCCCCGACAGTGGTGCCCGACAGTGGTGCCCCGACAGTGGTGCCCGACAGTGGTGCCCGACAGTGGTGCCCCGACAGTGGTGCCCCGACAGTGGTGCCCCGACAGTGGTGCCCCGACAGTGGTGCCCCGACAGTGGTGCCCCGACAGTGGTGCCCGACAGTGGTGCCCGACAGTGGTGCCCCGACAGTGGTGCCCCGACAGTGGTGCCCCGACAGTGGTGCCCCGGTGGGTGGGTATGGCAGGGGTGAGCTGGCTAAAGCTGTGGATGTTTGTTCACAAATATGCTTGTGCTTCACGGCCGCTCGAGAGGTGTTGGGGGTTGGTCGCTTGTCCCTCACTGCCGGCTGGTGTTGATCTCACGCACGCACACGCACACGCACAGCTGAAAGAGCTAAAATTCTGTTACTAGATAATTTTAACCACATGAAAATTAACTGGATTAATAAAGACTGATGAGTAATGACATGGAGAGCAAAATGTGTGTGCGCGTGTGCGTGTGTGTGTGTGTGTGTGTGTGTAGGGGGGGGGGGTTATGAGTCCTTACCCATCAATGTCTCCGGGTAAATGAGATCTAGCTCTTTATGTCCTGCCTACCGGCAAACATTAGAGCCACCATCTCTAGTGCCCTCGACAGGGACAGGAAGCCGGCGTCTGGTTACTCAAAAGGCACCTCCACCCCCCCCCCTCCTAAATCCATATTTAACAATGAGAAGGTCACAAGTAGCTCCTGGTAACTGTTCCCTACGATCTCTGGCCGCACTGAAAGTATCGAAGTGTTCCGTATCATGTATCGAACATTAGTTCAAACTACGAATTTCGAAAAGGAAATTGTGAATATATCACTGGGTTCAACTCGGGAGGGGATGGGGAGGGGGGTTCAGAGTCACGAAACTTTACGTGTATTGGTGAATTACCACTGGTAATTTATCAATACCAATTTACCAATTTACCGTTGGTAAATTACCACTAGGGAGGGCACTGGTGGTGGGTACATCCAGGAGACATTAGCTAACAAAGCAGGGGGCCAAAACCTGCTCACCAGTCACATAATTAACACGATGGTGGTTAGAAAAGTGGAGATGGTGGTTAGGGCAGTGGTAGGATGGTGGTTAAGAGATGGTGGAGATGGCGGCAATATTTCTTATGCTCGCTGGAAGGATGTTGAACAACTGTGGACCTCTGATGTTTATACAGTGTTCTCTGATTGTGCCTATGGGACCTCTGCTCTTCACTGGTTCTATTCTGCATTTTCTTCCATATCGTTCACTCCAGTATGTTGTTATTTTACTGTGTAGATTTGGGACCTGGCCCTCCAATATTTTCCATGTGTATATTATTATTATTTTTATTATTATATCTACTCACTATATCTACTACCCCCACCAGTCCTGGAAGTAACCAACGGTCTCACCTTCTACAGGCGGGTCGCTGGTGTCGAGCCTGCGTCGAGGGGCCTCCCTACGCAGGATGTCTTGGCTGCCTCGACGGCCCCACCTGGAGTGCAAGTCTTGGCTCACGTCCCTAGAACTCACACAGTATGTCCAGTGCTTCGCCAAGTTCGACGGTGTTGAGGTGAGTCTTGGAAGCCGGGGTGTTGAGGGGGGTGTTTCAAGGCGAGGTGTTACATGTGTATACGATGAAATCATCAAAAAAATAAGTACATATATGAGTATATGTATTGAGGATGTATAATGGGATCGAACCTGCATCCCTGTACTTCCCAGGCACACACAAATACACACACACACACACACACACACACACACACACACACACACACACACACACACACACACACTACCGGTTGAACCACGATGAGCTCAACAAATCTGGGCCCAAATTACTGCCAGGGGGCGCTGATGTGTAATTGGTGAACCATGATGTTAGGGGTGTTGACTGTGGAAATTGTGAGGGAAATGTGGTTGGTTGGTTGTGTGTGTGTGTGTCTCATGTGTGTGTGTGTCTCATGTGTGTGTGTGTCTCATGTGTGTGTGTGTCTCATGTGTGTGTGTGTCTCAGGTGTGTGTGTGTCATGTTTGGGTGTGTGTCATGTTTGTGTGTCATGTGCCATGTGTCAGGTGGAAGGGCCTGACACCTATTCCACAAGGTCCCACTTAATATTTCAACAGTGTGTGTGTCTGTCCTTGGGAGACGAGGCTACGAGTAGCCGCGTCCAACAGCCTGGTTGATCAGTCTAGCAACCAGGAGGCCTGGTCGACGACCGGGCCGCGGGGACGCTAAGCCCCGGAAACACCTCAAGGTATGGGGGGGGGGGTAGTGGGGGAGGAAGAACACCCACACAACCTGGTCAAAGTTCTGCTTCCCCCTTCCCCCCTCCCTCTTTTGGGGTGGGGGGGAGGGAAGTAGAATCCCAAAAGAGTCGAATCCTCTCTCCGGATTCCAATATATACGAGTGTTTGTGTACGGAATATATCCTTGTAAGTGTTGCTTGCAATGTTGAGCTTCGTGTACACGTGTCTTGTAATTATTTATTACAAGACACTTATTTAGTTTCCAAGAGACACGCTTACAAGGGTCTCACTTGTAATGGTTACTCTACTTAAGTTGAAATGATATATTACGTATTGGATAGTGTCACTCATCCTGTGAGTGAACATTTCGTCATAGCGCAGCGTCACTCGTCCTGTGAGTGAACATTTCGTCATAGCGCAGCGTCACTCATCCTGTGAGTGAACATACAGCAATAAGAATAGTATTGGGGAGCGTTATTCATCTTGTGAGTGAATAATGGAGTAGCGTGGGGGGGGGGGACTAGTGAGGACTGTTACAGGGGTGTTGTATAACTGTGTGACAGTTATGTTTATATTGTCTGGGGCACCGTAACTAGGAGACGGTATATACCCCTTGTGTTCCTTATCCCCATCATTATAAGAGTAATAATAAATATATAAACCAACTCAAGTTAGCTATTCCTCCAAGGAGTGCCGGACCAACCGGGCTGTGGTGGGTATGTGGGCCGCTCCAAACAACACCCTAGTGGACCAAACTCTCACAAGTCGAGCCTGGCCTCGGGCCGGACTTGGGGAGAAGAAGAACTCCCAGAACCCCATCAACCAGGTATCAACCAGGTGTCAACCAGCTATTATGAGCCCGGTGACTCTCCAGCTCAGCTCCTCCGCCCACACTTGACACTCTCCTCGGCCACATTCCAACCCTCATACTTAACATTTCTCATGATCCTCTCACCTTCTCATTCCTCAGTGACCTGCTTCAGACGCTATGGAACCTTCCCAGACATCTATTTTTATTGACACTGACTTTTATTCAATAAGATTGACTAATATGGTGGATTTAAGTGGCGTTTCCTCTGTGGTTGGCATACAAGTCTCCGTAGATGTTCTCGTGCCAGTCGTGCCTTTGCATAGTGGCTTCAGGCAGTAAAGGGGGAAGCCTTATACTCCCCCTACCCTTTCTTCTTTCTATTTTCTTCCTTCATGTTCCCCTACCCCCTCCTTCCCTCCCGTCACGCACGCCTTACGGAAGGGAAGCGGAGTATAACCCATTCCAGGGCTGAGAATGCTGCAGTCTGCGTCTGTCAGGTGTTTGTCTGCACCTGGCAGCAGAGTTATCACCAGCTTCCTTGTCTGCCGAACCTTGCAGGGTCCTCCCGAGGCTGCACTCTCACAGTCAGAAAGGAACCAGCTCGGTGAACTTGATAAATGGTTTCTGTAACATCTACAAGTGGCTTGTGTTTCATTTAGACAGTAATGTAGGACGTGGGGAGAGCTTGGGTGGTACCGGGGGTCGGTGGGACGCCGGAGCCGCCATTGTGATTGGGTAATTTGACGTACCGTCAATACCATGCGAATTGCATTGTGTTGAGGTCCCATGCCCGTCGGTAATCGCCCGTTCTTCCGTCTGTTTTCCCCGCCTGTCTCGCCCGTCATTTCGACTGTCGTTCTTGTACCTGTCATGTTGATTACCGTCATATTGGTCGCTCTTTGTCCACCCGTCACAATGATTTCTGTCTCACGCTTATTCTCCTCGTTTCGTCTAGTTCTCTTCCGTCTGTCCGCTTCCCTGTCCAACTGTCTCCCCCTCCTCCCGTCCCAACTCCATGAACTGTAGGGTGAACGAACCTGTGACGCCGCGACTGTCGCTATGATTTGATTACCACTTCCCGTAAAACCTGGTACAGGTACCACTCCAGTTGGTAATATCGTGTCCCCCAGAGACAGCAGGTCACCAGTCATTGTTTCACTAAGTAGTCGTCTCATTCAGTGTGTCAAATGAGCGCTGTTAGTTGATGGTGATTGAAAACCTCTTTTTCTCTACCTCTCTTCTCCAGAGAGGTAGAGAAAAGTAGGTTTTTCTCTACTTCTCTACCGCCTTCAGCTTCTTCTACTCCTTCTTAGCTGCTTCTCCCCCCTCCTCTCCTTCCGCTCCGCCTCTCCTCAAACTCTATAAAAGACAAAGGCCGTAGAATTAAAGAATATACGGGCTCACCATAGCCAGTGCTACTTGGAACTTTTTGTTCCAAGTAGCGAATCTTAAACAACAACAACAGAATTACTCGCAGAGTGTATCCTGACCAATGAACACGTAGTGAACAAATTACACACAGAGATCACACTAACGTGATGCATCAAATGAACAAATCCACAAGGGCCGTGACGAGGATTCGAACCTGCGTCCGGGAGCATCCCAGACACTGGAACACGTAGTTTTAACGCAGAGAAAATAATCAGTGATATTCAAATGAATGTTTTAGCTGCTCAAGGTTATTATCAGGAGAAAACACCAAGACGTGTCGACTTATAAAACTTAATGTTAAGAAAATACGCTAAAGAAAATTTATTTGAGATTAAATTCCTTTTGGATACCATCACGCTTATTCTCAGCATGAAATGTCAGCATTTCAAAACATGATGCTGTTGATATGCTTACAAGGACAGCCTGTAGTAGACCAGTAATAAAAATTAATATGGGTGTATTTATATTTAATATTTAAATTAATATCTGATTAAAATCTCTTACTGACCTAACAAATTCACAAAGATATGAAAGCTGTAGCATTAAACATTTAAGATGAATACTGTTGTTGTTATAGATTCAGCTACTCGGAACAAGTTCCAAGTAGCACGGGCTATGGTGAGCCCGTAACTTACCTGGCACAGGAGCGGTGCCATGAATACTGTGAGGAGGCATTTATATATATATATTTGTTTTTTTTTTGAGATATATACAAGTTGTTACATTCTTGTACAGCCACTAGTACGCGTAGCGTTTCGGGCAAGTCCTTAATCCTATGGTCCCTGGAATACGATCCCCTGCCGCGAAGAATCGTTTTTTCATCCAAGTACACATTTTACTGTTGCGTTAAACAGAGGCTACAGTTAAGGAATTGCGCCCAGTAAATCCTCCCCGGCCAGGATACGAACCCATGACATAGCGCTCGCGGAACGCCAGGCGAGTGTCTTACCACTACACCACGGAGACTGCTTATATGGAACTAATAGAGCAAGAACTCGGCAATGTGATGTTATAGTGGCCAGAATACGCCTGGGATATAGACGTATATGGCAGCTTTCTCAAAACTCAAATGTTGAATTTGAGTTGGTGAGACGTGTCAACTTTGTGAAAGAGAAAACATGCATTCCCTTGATCATTATATTGTAGTGTCTCATATTAACTGACTTTCGCCCCCGTGGTTTGAGACGTTCTGAAATTAGATTAAGATTAATCAAGATTAACAATGTAATACACCAGTTATGTAATGCATGTGATATTATAACTTGAGTTTATAAGAGCCCCTTACTAACCTTGTGTGGTTGAGTGCTTATAAACACACTAGTTTCTATAGCAGCTATCTTACTTAAGTGGCCAGAATACGCCACACACACACACACACACACACATATATATATATATATATATATATATATATATATATATATATATATATATATATATATATATATATATATATATATATATATAATATGTCGTACCTAGTAGCCTGAACGCACTTCTCTGCCTACTATGCAAGGCCCGATTTGCCTAATAAGCCAAGTTTTCATGAATTAATTATTTTTCGACTACCTAACCTACCTAACCTAACCTAACTTTTTCGGCTACCTAACCTAACCTAACCTATAAAGATAGGTTAGGTTAGGTTAGGTAGGGTTGGTTAGGTTCGGTCATATATCTACGTTAATTTTAACTCCAATATAAAAAAAATTGATCTCATACATAATGAAATGGGTAGCTTTATCATTTCATAAGAAAAAAATAGAGAAAATATATTAATTCAGGAAAACTTGGCTTATTAGGCAAATCGGGCCTTGCATAGTAGGCCGAGAAGTGCATTCTGGCTACTAGGTACGACATTATAATATATATATATATATATATATATATATATATATATATATATATATATATATATATATATATATAATGATGTGGGCAAGCTGGTTAGAATTGCATTTCACATGAAGTTGAGTACTCAATAGCAAATCTATTTTTATAAAAGAATGTCTGTATTTTCAAATACATCAGACATCAGTGCACGAGACATCAACATTCAATAAATCAAATTGTGCAGCCACTGGTATAGGCACTGTGACTACGTTTTGAGAGGCTCTGGTGCCATATCTCAGAATGACATTGCCACATCTCTCATACGCACGTCGCACACCCTCTCGTGTCACATCCCTGGCACACTCCTGCCACATCCCAGAGAGGCAACTTGGGGTGAGTTATACGGAATAAGGAGGAGTATTGATTTATTTACAGAGCCCCGGCTGGCCCCGCGGCGGTGGAAGGTATCGATAAGGGGAGTGGCAGAGATGTGGCTGGCGACTGAGAGGGGAAAGATTGGGGAGGAAGAGAGGGGTCACAGGGGACGATAAAGAGAGAAGTACGTAAATAAGAGGCAAGGAGAGAGAGAGAGGGGGAGTAAGGAGACTGGTGAGGGGTGAGATAGTTCAATTTTAAGGTAGGAAATATGTACTGCATAAAACTAGATTATCCTCACTTAGAAATGTATTACCTTTAACCGAAAACATATTACTCGTCTGTGTATATAACCCACTGAAAATATAGTTGTGATAGGAGGAGAAAATTGCAACTGCTTCGAACTTCATTACCTGAAGAAGGTTTCGAGAGTTGTTTTACTCCCCGGCCCGAGGCCAGGCTCGACTTGTGATAACTTGGTCCACCAGGCTGTTGCTTGGAGCGGCCCGCAGGCCCACATATCCACTACAACCCGGTTGGCCCGGGTTGTAGTGGATATGTGGGTCTGCAAGAATCTACCTAAGTGCTTGTTGAAGAAGTGTACCTTTGTTCCGGCAGTATTTGTAATGCTTGCTGGGAGAGTGGCACCTCTCTACTCCCCACTTACAGTGTCCCCTCTGTATGTTGACCAGACCACATACTAGATAATGAAACGACGGTGACGTTTCGGTCCGTCCTGGACCATTCTCAAGTCGATTGTCCGAGGCCACAATCGACTTGAGAATCGTCCAGGACGGACCGAAACGTCGTCGTCCCTTCACCTTCAAGTGTGTGGTCTGGTCAACATATTTCAGCCACGTTATTGGGACTCATCATCCCCCTCTGCATTAATGATTAATGCGTAATGCGTTGTTAGAGAGTTACTAGAAGTGTGTGTATGTAAGTTACAGCCTGCCCTCTGTTACAGGACATCCTGTACTACGACGAGAGAACCATCAGGGAGTTGGGAGTGAGACACCAGGCTCACCGCGTGAAGATAATGTCATCCCTCGCCTCTCTCCGTGCCAAATGGGAGAAAAGTAAGTACTTTTCTCACTCTGGTCCCATTTAAAAAAGTATAAAATTCCTTCCACTCCTCTTTTGTGGCAGGTGATTTTTAATTTTATGTATAACGTTTCTCGCCTCTTTGATGATACGAGAAACATATCCACATTGTTTCTTTAGGTAAAAAAAAAGCCCATTAACAAATTATTTGACAATATGTTGTAGGCTTAGTGACACATATGTGCACTGTGTGTGTGTGTCTCTCTCTCTCTCTCTCTCTCATATTGGCTTCCATATAATTAGTTTAACTTTTTTAAATACTTGTACTAGTAAAGTAACTTTGACTACAATCACACAAGTGTCCACATAGGTTAACTGCCAGTTACAACAGTGCCAGTCTGTGTGGAAGACCGTAACCACCAGTCAGCTGTTTTTGTCAGCTTAACGAGACCGCTCGTTTAGCCTCCACGGCATCACGAGCGTAACGAGGTAATTAGACAATCTCGCCTATTAGCCCCCAGCCGAACCAGGACGGTGTCAATATTTACCCAGGTAAAGCAAACAAAGCCACCCTCCTCTTCATTGGTCTGGGAGATGCCATTATATATATTATATTATATTATATTATATTATATTATATTATATATATATATGTGTGTGTGTGTGTGTGTGTGTGTGTGTGTGTGGGGATAGGGGGATCTGCTGCATGGGTAACAGCTTCTCCATATCGACCTACCCAGGCTTTGCGCCCTGGAGAGGACACTACAGCCTCGACAACCAGAGTACAACTCCATAGTCTCCCAAGAGTGCAGGATGTCCATTACTATATATATATCAGTAATATATATCAGAAAGATTCCTTCCCGTGAAAGGTTCGAACCTTAGACTGTCAGGAGCTTATAACCCACTAACAAGTCGAGTATTCTGACCACATGATCACACATGACTGTTCAAAAGCCATTGGTAGCCGAGGCTATTTCCCCAACAACCCGACAGCACTCAGTGGCCACAGATCAGCATTCGTTTTTATCACATCAGTTCACTTGATCTGTCGCCATCGAGTGCTATCGGGGACCTATATCAGTCAGGAATCGAACCCGGGTGCTTAGACAGCAAATCCCGAGCGCTGTTCGTTTTGGTGTAATTGTTTAACTGGCCCTCAAGGTCTGTCCTAACTACACGTGACGCCATTACCTTGAGGTGCTTCCGGGGCTTAGCGTCTCCGCGGCCCGGTCGTCGACCAGGCCTCCTGGATGCTGGACTGATCAACCGGCCGTGTGCGGGGTCTGAGCGATACGCCTGCGTGTCTCCAATCATATATTAGATAATGGGGTGGAAAAAAAAATTATTTTTATTTCGGTAGATTTATTTCGAGGAGGGAGGGTACTGGGAGCAAGACAGGAGGTTGTGGTTTATTAAGTCTGTGGTAGCGAGTGTTGACCTCCTGCCCCCCCCCCCCTCTGGCCGCAGCCCACTTCCTTTCCCCCCCCCCCCCCTGCTCAGGTGAACCCATAGCTTGGATGTGGTGTGGGCCCCCCCACACTCTCCTGGGGCTCGGCCACCACTGGCCGTGAGCCCATTACGAGCACGACCTCCACCCTCACTATGGGAGCTGGACCTCCACCCCTCACTGTGGGAGCTGGACCTCCACCCTCACTGTGGGAGCTAGACCTCCACCCTCACTGTGGGAGCTAGACCTCCACCCTCTCACTGTGGGAGCTGGAGAAGACCCGTCCCTTGAGTTGTATCTTCACCCTAATGTTGCACTTCAATATCACCCAGAAAACATTTACCATCATCCATTAAGGAACTGATCCTTCACCCCCCCCCCTCCCCCTTCCCCCACCCACCTGGAACCTTGACTCCATGGATCATTCCAATTAAAAAAAAAATATTCATAATAGATGGCAAATTTGTATTTCATTTGATTTACGAGAAATTATGAATACTTTATTCATTTACACAAGACAAAGTTTCAATAATTAGAATAATTACGTAGGCAATTATTTTAATTATATACTACATATTTAAGACAAGACCGATCACGAGACGGATGATGGTGAATACATGATTATAGACACCACGAGAGGCCACTGACTCATATCACAAGGGAACCAAGGAAGATAGTTATATGCCACTCGGCCCAGTTGGGGTTCTCAGAACACACACACACACACACTCATGGTGCTGGGAAATCTTATCTTCTATTAACAAATGAGATTTATTAAACACAGTAATGAGAGAGATACAGTGGACGTGAACGCGTTTACTTCAGGAAGGAATAACGCGAGAGGGTCCCGGTGGATTCTGGGAACAAGAGGTGTTCCCCTCTGTACGAGCAGGGAGCATGTGGAACATATGGTCCCCTCAGTGTACGAGCAGCGAGCATGTGGAACATATGGTCCCCTCAGTGTACGAGCAGTGAGCATGTGGAACACTGAAGAACACTACAGGTTTTAATGTAGTCGTATGATAAGCATAGATATGATAGGAATGATTCGATATATATTATGTAAATTATAACTGTGAAACAGGGCCCAATAGCTGAGGATCACTTCCTAGGAAACTAAGGCAGATATGAAATACATTCACAAATATAATACAAAACAGTGAGTAAGGAAATAAAGAGATGAGAAAGAAGACAAAGAACCAGTTCTCATCTAAGCATCATCTCTCAGGCACTGGGAGGCGGGAGAGCATAAGAGACGTTGCTACCTTAAGATTACCTGGTGTTCAAGGGTTCAATGACCCGACCTCAATGATTAGACCTCCTGGTTGGCGTTTTGCGTGTCTTGCATAACCAAGTCATGTCAGTGTGTTGCGTGACATCTCAGGTCATGTCAGTGTGTTGCGTGACATCTCAGGTCATGTCAGTGTGTTGCGTGACATCTCAGGTCATGTCAGTGTGTTGCGTGACATCTCAGGTCATGTCAGTGTGTTGCGTGACATCTCAGGTCATGTCAGTGTTGCATGACATATCAGGTCATGTCAGTGTTGCATGACATATCAGGTCATGTAAGTGTGTTGCGTGACATCTTAGGTCATGTCAGTGTTGCATAACATATCAGGTCATGTCAGTGTTGCATGACATATCAGGTCATGTCAGTGTTGCATGACATATCAGGTCATGTCAGTGTGTTGCTTGACATCTCAGGTCATGTCAGTGTTGCAAATACCACAATCACTACTTTCTACTAGTCCCCCCACTTACATCTACCACTTCCCCCTCTCCAGGTACAACTACCCCCTCCTCGTCTCATACGTCTACCACTACCCTCCTCTTCCCCCCTCCCCCCCCTCTCCCTCGGCATGACTCAGTATTCCCAGTTTACCGGTGCGCTGTCCTGTCACGTCGCAGACTTCCGGTGACAAGCCCATCAGGAACCGGTAGCGTGCCGCCTTGTCTCAACCGGAAGGCGGGACATCTGTCAGTGGGCGGCTGACGACAGAGGGCGGGGTGTGGGTGGTGGTGACACAGGGCGGGGTGTGGGTGGTGGTGACACTAAGACTAAAGAGGTGTTACTGACAGTATGTAAACATATATACACTATGCTATTGGGTGTATACAGTTTACTGGTATACAGTATATACTTTGATATCTAGTTTTTCAGTATTCTCTGTGTATGTAACTGTGCAGAGTCTCTTGTGTACACTGTGGCATACAGTATACAGTACAGTATATACATTGTGAGTGAAAGGCTTCAGAATAAAACGCCCTGATTAAAACGTCCGAATTAAAACGTCCGGATTAAAACGTCCAGAATAAAACGTCCCAAATAAAACGTCAAGAGTTTAACGATAAGAACGTAACACTCCAGACTAGAAGGGAGAGTTCAACATGTTCCAGACTAAAACGTCTTACTCAAAGAATTCCAGATTACTGAAAGCTCCAGTCCAGAGGATTCCAGGCACAAACGCTCCAGTTCCATTGTCGTTTTCATGTCTCGTTTGCCTCGAGCCTCGTTAGTCTTTTATCCTAGTTTTGTGGACAGTTGGTTCCCGAAGGATTGTGGTAATTACAAAAGTCACAGTAACGAAGTTGGAACAGTAAAAGTCACAGTAACTAGGCTGGAACAGTAAAAGTCACAGTAACGAGGCTGGAACAGTAAAAGTCACAGTAACGAGGCTGGAACAGTAAAAGTCACAGTAACGAGGCTGGAACCTTAAAAGTCACAGTAACGAAGTTGGAACAGTAAAAGTCACAGTAACTAGGCTGGAACAGTAAAAGTCACAGTAACGAGGCTGGAACAGTAAAAGTCACAGTAACGAGGCTGGAACAGTAAAAGTCACAATAACGAGGCTGGAACAGTAAAAGTCACAGTAACGAGGCTGGAACAGTAAAAGTCACAGTAACGAGGCTGGAACAGTAAAAGTCACAGTAACGAGGCTGGAACAGTAAAAGTCACAGTAACGAGGCTGGAACAGTAAAAGTCACAATAACGAGGCTGGAACAGTAAAAGTCACAGTAACGAGGCTGGAACAGTAAAAGTCACAGTAACGAGGCTTCCTATTCACCCACATGAGACAGCTCTTTATTTACACCTAAGATCATTATATCAACCCAAACTCGTGTAATTTTTACACTCATTTACTGCAATAAAAGAACGTTGAATGTTTTGTGCTGGGAGGAGAAGAGAGAGAGAATGTTGAACGTTGAGCAGGGCAGTAAAATGTTCCTGGGCTGCATAGCTGTCTGACATTCCACATTCCGTGGGGCTTATCAGCCACAACGACTCGACTCTGTTCCTAATTGGGTGTAGTTGCGTGAGAGAGTTCTCCTCCATTTGAGAAAAACAGGCGAAATATTCCTTGATAAATACAAATATATTTTTAGTTCTAACGTACATATATTCGAGCATCTATAGCTATCTGTAACTATATACACCAGCCCGTCTCTTCCTTGTTATGCATAGGCATAACGAGGAAGATGTTGAGAAAATCAGTAGGAGTCATTGTGAGGATTCGAACCTATGGACCGGGTACTACCAGGCAATACTACCAGGCAATACCTTGATACATCACGGTAATGGGACGT